AAATTCAAGAATTCTCTCTCTCCCGGGATATAACAATGAAATAACAACATTCCCTGCTCTTCCCGGGGATAACAATCGAAGCGCCCTGCGGGATGTGGAGCAGAGCCCCGGTTCAGGGTTCAGGGTTCAGGGTGGATTTCAGAGCCCTGCAGCTCTGCGGGCGGGTTTGTCCCTGCCTCGGTGACTCAGGGATGCAGCAGAGCCGCAGCTCCGGGGTCGCAGACAGGTCACCGCTGCTCCTTTTGGCACATTTGTTCCGGCACAGAGAGCTCTGAGTGAGCCATCAAAGGATGCTCGAGATCACAGAATGGCAGGGAGGGAAGGGAGAGTCCCTCGAGCATCACCGAGCGCAGCCCTTAACCAGCCGTGTCCCCAAGTGCCACCGGGGGTGTCACTGGTTGGATTTAGGGCCATTCTGAGCTCTCAGCGCCCCTGTCCGCGCTGCTCCCACACAGACACAGAGAGGAGCTGCTCTGGCAGCCCTTGGGATGCTCCGTGTCCCTTCTGCTCCCGCAGAGGGAGAGCGCTGCCAGCGCTGCACCACGGCAGCGTCCCCTCCCCTTCCTCCCCTTCCTCCTCTTCCTCCCCTCCCCACAGCACCAGCTGCTGCTCCCAGCTCCCAAGCGCTCCCAGCCTGGCAGGCAAAACCCCCTCAGGGGCACTCTGGGGCTGTGCCAGCTCCTGTCTGGAGCAGGAGGGTTGGGATCCCTGCCAGCACAGCCTCCCCCCTCCTCCTCCTCCTCTTCTTCCTCCCCCCGAGCTGCTGGAGGAGGGAGGGTGAGCTGTTTCTCATGGGAAGGGATCTTGCACCATCCCCGTGCCCGTTCCCTGCCAGCTGGCACGGGAGGGAGCCCCGGGTGTTCCAGGGAGCGCAGGTGGAGGGCAGCGAGCAGCAGGATGCTCCCAGAGGATCTCACCTTGAAACAGAGGCCGTGGGGCTCCTCGGACACGATCACCAGCGTGGAGGGGTAGAGCACCAGGAGCCGGTCGTGCTGCTCCTTGGGAAGCAGACAGGGAGAGGGGTTGGACCCCTGGGAGCAGCCAGGGCTCAGAGCCGGAGCTTGGCTTTGTCCTTCTGCCACAGCCCGGGGCAAGGGCTCTGGGAACAGCTGAGCTGCTTCCCTGGGCTGGGAAA